CGGCCGCCACAGTCCGGGGGCGGGCTGGCTGATGCTTTTCCTCTCCCAAGTTGTCTTGCAGCTGGATTTTAACGCCGTTACATATGTCGGCACCTCCTCTACTTGCTTATACGCTGGTCTGTGTCACAGACAATAATGTGGTGACAATAATAGTGACCGCTGGGAACAAGGATGTGTTGCTGGACATGGAGTTGTGCCTGTAGTGGTTTGAGTAGCGTTTTGTGCTTTTTAGAAGTATTGAAAAGACAAAAACATGTATTTACAGGGACAGGAAGGAATGGGCAGATATTGAACCTGTCCCTCAAAATGATGGGCCAAATCCTGTTGTTCAGATCATCTACAGTGAAAAATGTAAGTTTTAAATATGTTCTGCACTGGAAACTTAAAGTGGTTAAATTTGTGTCTGTTCTTAGTGGTGTTAAAGCAACACTTCATGTTTTGGATAACGTATTTGCTAGAGTAGTACTGTGAAGAAATTAATTTAATATTTATTGTGTTGTGGTGGTTGTGTGTGATGTTTTCACCAAGCATCTCTGAAGTTGAATCTTAACCTGAGTTGTGAATAGCCAACATTTTATTTTAATATTATATAGCTTGAGAGGTAGTACAACAGTCAGTCTGGTTTGCATAATAAGGCATTTCTAGCCAGCGAATGGAAGAGAGATGTATGAACTTACTGCATCTGGGGAAGTAGTGTGACTAAGCAGCAAGGAACTTTCCTGATTTGTTTTGGATGTTATTCAGATGGTGTATTTTTAAGATATTTTTGCAGCTTTTCAGTATACTAATATCATTTAGAGGTTTCAATCAACAGTGCTGTCAGAGCAATACGCAGCTATCATTTTGAAGAGGTATACTTAAAGTGCACAAAATAGGAAGTAACTTCGAAGGGTTATTAACCTTACCCCCTAATCAGGCCATTGTCTCATAGCCTTGGATAAGATGCTGTTATCTGTTTAGTTCGAGATGTCTATGATTACTTCCGGGCTGTTCTGCAGCGGGATGAGAGAAGTGAAAGAGCTTTCAAGCTAACAGCAGATGCCATTGAGTTAAATGCTGCAAACTACACAGTATGGTAAGTGAAAATCTTGAGATTATTTCTGTCGTCATTTGACCTCTTACATCTTTAATAATTGTGTTAGTCTAATCAGGGCATGACTAGTTGAGTTTGCATAGAGGAGTAGTGTCGACTTCCAGTGAGCGTCTGAAGAAAGCCTTTGTTCCGTATTTTCCATGTCTCGTTTTGATTTGGTGGTTTTCATTCATTTGGCTTTGAGGGTGTTATCAATCAAGGTCAGGATTAGCCACAAAAAGAACTTTGCTGTTTAAAATTAGATCACTTACGTGATAACGTGGCCTTGGTAAAATGCTGAAGATGCCCTCATTTGACTTCAAGAAGAGACGTAAAAGCATGATAGCTCCTATTTCCTGCTAAATAATTGTATACTTACTAAATAGTGCATTTTAGAAGATCTGTCATGTTAATGTTCAGTTAGGTTATAAATAAACAGTGAATTTCTGATATTCAGAGTAGGGCCTTTTAACTCATGAATGCTAACAAGTACCTCTTGTACATCTTTATTCCGCTAACTTGCATAAAATCAGGAAGTTTGCATTATTTTAAGCACGTAAGTCATAGTTTCTGTGATGGTAAGACCAGTGTGGGTAGACAGAGGTTAATCTGAAGCAGGATTGCTGTGATCTTAGATGACATACTGTTGTAACCAGTTGTAATCCAGTTCTCCACTGTTCGATAATTGAATGGCCTTTAACAGAACCGGATATGTGGTTTAGTTTTTTGCACTCTTTTTAACTCAATATCTATTAGAAGAACTGTGAACAAAGGTTCTTCTATGTTCTCCTGTGTGAATTTTAGGAAAGCCCTGTTGCAGTGTTCGAATGCTTGACTTTTATACAGGCATTTCCGGAGAGTCCTCCTGCAGTCTTTGGGAAAGGATCTCCATGAGGAACTTAAGTACATTACAGCTATCATTGAAGATCAGCCAAAGAACTACCAAGTCTGGTAAAATCATGTTTTCTTTTCAGTTCTTAACGTTTTTGCAGATAATTTTTGTTTTGTAAATTGTGTAAAATAAGCTGTGATCATTGATCTTAAAAGTTGTTAAGAGTTGCTTCCTACATCTACTGCAGTGGCGGTAGTGGAGGAGTTAAATGGAGTTGCATCAGTGTCACTGCCAAAGTCCTCTTTAGCAGTTTGTTCTAAACGTATGATTATGACATGCTGAAAAGGTCTTGTTTTCTTTTAATTTCAATTTTTAAACTGTCAAAATAAGTCTGACAGATCAAAAAAATGACTGAAAAAGCATACAAAAAGACAAATGGAAATTAGTATTTTTTCTTTTATTGGCTCTTGGAGCTTGCTTACCTGTTGTTGGGTTTTTCCAAAGTGAATGGGAATAGGCAAAACAGCAGCATTGTTATTGCTAGAGAAATTGTGTAGTACTAGAAAATTTTATTCTGCTGAAGACTTTGGCCATTAAAAGTGGGAACACGTTACTTTAAGTAAACATAAGTTGTCTAAAAGGAGGCCAATGTTTATGTGTAGTTAGAATTTGTTATAGTGTAAGTATGCATCATATATTTCTCAGAGCCAAATGAAATGTTCGGTATATTTGATTTGAAGTATTTAACTAGTGGTTTTTTTCGAAGTACTACAGTTGCTATATGCAATATGCTGTTTTAATACAGACTGCATGTTCACAGAAAATTTTTAGACTATTGTAAAAATAGTGTCCTCCTCCTGTCATTAGGCATCACAGACGGGTGTTGGTGGAGTGGCTGCAGGATCCATCCCAAGAGCTTGAGTTCATAGCTGACATTCTTAACCAAGATGCCAAAAATTACCATGCGTGGCAACACAGACAATGGGTTATTCAGGTATTGTATCCACTAAATATTTTGATTCACTAAATAACCTGCTCAGGTTGTAGAGTTTTGCTTCTTAAATACAATCTGAATTGCATTTGGCACTTCTTTTCTTAGGGCTGAAGGGGGAAAACAATTGCATTTTAATGTGTGGTAGAGGTTAGCTATAAACTTGCCTTTTAGGAAGCGAGTTCAAAAAGGTCTGTGGTTGGCTGCTTACTGTTATGTGTGTGAATTTAATGATGAGCTAATACCATTGAGTGCAACTGAATAGTGTAGCATGTTCCTAGTGCACCCTTCCTTATTTTTCTTTGAACTTTGTGTTGATTTCATTAAAAAAGTCTCTGTGTCTGATGTTCAGAGAACTTAGAAGCAAGGAGAATATATTTTAAAAAATAAAAACTTTTCATTGTGATATTCTATCTTCCTTCCCTTTCCATAGGAGTTCAAATTATGGGACAATGAGCTGGAATACGTAGACCAGCTTTTGAGGGAAGATGTGAGAAACAACTCTGTTTGGAACCAACGACACTTCGTAATTTTCAATACCACTGGCTATGATGATCCAGCAGTCCTAGACAGAGAAGTCCAGTTAGTAATGTTGTTCATGCTCACATTAAGCATTCTCCATTACATGAAAGCAAAGGAATACTTCGACAGTCCCTGTGGGTTTGTCTTTCCTGTTTTTAATGCAGTTTTTCGGCTCACTCTCATGGATAGCAGATCAAGTGTTAGTGCATATATAGATGTGTTCAGTACCACTGACTTGTTGAGTAGTACTGAAGCAAGCTATGCTTACCCTGGGCAAGCTGTTCTCATTAATCTGTCTTCCTGCCCTGCTGCGTATTGTGCAAACAAAACTTTTGGCTTTTTGTAGTCAACTAGCTATAGTGGAACAAACTGCAGAAAATCTGTGACACTGGAACCATGTAAGTTGTGCTGTTCGTTAGTATCTTACATCCTAGCCCTAGAAAACTTGGAAGGAGAGGCACTCTCCGTGATGTACTAAACTGCTGTTTTAGTAGTACAGTAGCCACAGTGATTTAAAGATAACATGGACGTGGATTGTAGGAAGAGGAATTGCCTTTTGTGAGGAATATGATGCAGCTGGAAAAAGAAAGGAGCTTTCAGGGGTATGTGGTCAGCACAAAGACAACTACCTCTGTGAGTTGGCTAGTTTTGAGGAAAATATGCTTTGGAAACTGTTTCGAAGTGGTATGTTTGTAACTGAAGACAAACAGGGCTTCTGGCCATTTATTTTGCTAGTGATGGTGGTAAGGGAACCGTCCTTTTATGGTTTTCACATTTCAGACTGCTGATCAGGGTTGATGGTTATGAGAAAATGTTTGTCTAAAGTGAAGAAGCAATGAAAAGAAGGTACTGCAACTTTTTGGAGTTATTCTTCAGAAAAAAGACTGAGTCTCTGAATAGGTCCATTGGTACATTGCTCATAGAGGATTCCAGCCCACCTTTCATGGTTGTCTTTGCAAACTGCTGTAAGTTGTACTTCTCTTCCACTTTATAAATTTCCTGCAGATTAATAAATCTGAACTGTTTCCATGACTTAGGCTTGGATGTTTCCAGCTTTTTCTCTCCAGAGGTTAAATCTGACATCCTCCCTTGATCTGTTTATACGTGGTGCTATGTTCAGGATAATTGGATACCATCTTAAGAATCAGACTGTCTAAGGTTAAGACTTCCCAGATGTCATTATAGAACTGTAGTTGGGCTGCTTGTTGCTTGATAAACTCGATCTTTGTCATAGTGACTGCAGAAGGTCAAAAAAGATTTAGGATTGGGTTTTTGTTTTTGACCAGTACTGCCTATAGAACTTTTTATCAGTATCTGCTGTCTCTGAAGATTAGCTGAGTGCCACATTATGCTGGAGAAGGGCAGAAGGTAAAGTCTGTTTTGGGAAGATGAAGTGTGGCTTTGTGACTGTATGGCAGGTGCCTCTTGTTGCTTTGCTTTTAGAGGAGTTGCTTAACTGCTACTTTGAAAGATCTGCTGCAGAAGGCTGTGTGAGCTGAAAGCTCAAGCTCTGCCTTTCTGTGGGTTTGCTCAAGTGCAGGCTCATGAAAAATGTTCTACAAATAGGTACAGAACATGCCTCATGCAGTCATATTAATGTAGCTCATCCTGGGCTTTGATTACTCCAGCCCTTTTCAGCCCCTTGCCGTTTTGGATCTTCAAGACACAAGGTATTCCTTTAGCATACCAGGGGAGTATATCATGTTGTTTCTTAGTGTTATTGCTCATAATTTTGAGAACTGTTTCATTATTGTATAAAATGCAGCAAATGGAACACTTCAGAATTTAAAACAGTTCTCTCAATGTCTGCCTCTCTGAGACTTGCAGTGATTATTTTGCGAGACATTTTTGGTCTGTGACCCAGCTGAGATGATCTGCAAAAAGACTCTGAAATATAGACTAGAGTGATGTATTTGGGAACGTCTGAGCACATTCAGGTAATTTCTAACTGCGTTGTTAATGGTTGCATTCATAATCTGTTATCTTTTTCTCACAGATACACTCTTGAGATGATCACAGCAGTGCCACACAATGAGAGCGCTTGGAACTATTTAAAGGGGTGAGACATCCTTCTCTGTATGGGGCAAAGAGAGTATCTGTAGAAGGTGTCTTATGCCTAGCTCTTAACTGGAAAGAGCTTGTTGCTATTCATTCTAGTGTTGTGTGCTTAAGTGGCAAAAAGCAAAAACTTCCACAAGGGGTTAATATATTAACCTAATTTCTCTGTAACTTTCCACTAAGTTTCTGGCCCTGTAGTTCTTGTGGGATGATTGCCAGTACTTCTCATGCTTTTAAAAACTTGACCTGTAATGTTACTGGGTTCAAGAGCATGGAGTAGGAAGCAATGAGCATGCTTTCAGTCTTTCTGTTCAGTTGAGTGTAACTATACTAGCTTACTAGAATATGAAGCTGATTATTGCTGCGTGCTGCTTACTTTCTGCCTTACTTGTATTTGCACCCTTATTTCAAAACTGATCTCCAAATAAGGGAGTTGTAACAAAAAAGTAATTCCTCACACCAGATTTCCCAGCATTATGTTCCAAGCTTATTAACCTCTGTTCTAGGATTCTACAGGATCGTGGTCTTTCTAAGTATCCAAATCTGTTAGAGCAACTGTTGAATTTACAGCCCAGCCACAGTTCACCCTATCTCATTGCCTTTCTTGTGGACATATATGAAGATATGCTTGAAAACCAGTGTGATAACAAGGAAGAAACACTAAACAAGGCATTGGAGGTATGTTTTGAGAGCTTGATTTTGCTTCTCAGGGCTGCCATCTGTTGCTCTCTTGTTTTACACCCCGACAAAATGGGATTGATTTTCGTAAATAGAACAGGTTACTTGTTAATCACAGGAGCTCTGTGAAGAGTTGAACATGAAAGCCAGATAATCACAAAGGTCTCATGAATTTATCTATAAATAATAACTTGCCAGTTACAAAATGGCTGAAAGTTTTCTTCACCTGGTAGTAAAGGAAGGTTTCTAATATTGCCTGCAGAAGAAAGGAGATGTTTGAACAATCAAGGAGTTTCCAGTGCTAACTTTGTTGCATGAACTCACTTTCTGCTCTGTAGGTTAGTGAATCTTGTTCTCAGAGTATCTGTATCTAAACAGAATCTCAAGCTCCCTTTGCACTTCTTGGCTCTTTCTAAGAAAGCAGAATTAGCTTAAAGGCTAGTAGGCACTGGGGACATCAGTAAGGAATGTCGGGCACCATTTCCTACAGAGAATAAATGACTTCTAGCAATGTTGTGTATCTCCCTGTGCTTCATATTTGGGGAACTCCTTGACGTGGTTTGCAGTGTAGTTTTTACAAGAACACTTTTCATTCACTGTGGGACAGACTGGAACTTAGTGTAATTAGAACTGCGGTTCTTGCCTGGAGTCTCTGTGTTCCAACATCGTTCTTTCTCCACGTTTTTTCTTTGTTGTGTTCCAGGACCAGAGTGTGAATAAGTGCAGTGGTACCTCTCAGATTCATGTCCCTTTATACTATTTCACTGAGTTTGACTTTTTCATCTATTTAGGCATCGAAGCTTCTGTTTCTCAACTCTGATTGACTGAGTGAGGCAATGTCATCTGCATAATAAAAGGGAATTGACTAGAACATTAGTAGACAGTGTTCATACCATATAAATTTTACACAGCATGTCCTGTGAGTAGGGATGACTTCTGCTGTGCCTCACTGTTCACTCAGATCAAAATAAAACAAAAATCAGAACATGCAGAGGTATCTGTATAGCACCAGCTCTAACATGTTGTGAGAGAAGGTTACTGACTTGCATGGAGGATCATTTTGGGACAGTCTGCTAAGAGAAAAACCACAAACAAAGTATCTCATGTCAGTCCATCGGGAGTGCTGAAGATTCGAGAATGGGATGTTCCTCCACTGTTTTGAATGAAGTGGTTTACAGCCTGCTGGATCACTAAAAGACAGTCAAGCTTGCAGGAAGTCACAACTATACTGTAGCGTACTACAGGCTGAATAGGCAGGGGTAGATGACGAGTGGTAGGCACAGAAAGGAGTCACGGGGGAGCAGTTGCAACTGAAATAGGTAGGACTGGAGAGATTTTTGTGCAGTGTCATACTGGTTGACTACCAGTTGGACTTGACATCAGTTTGAGGTCATTGGACAGTTGCAAATCCGGGAGTAAAACACGTGTTGTTGCTAAGAAAGGTGTTTCTGATACTGGCTGAACCATATATTGCATGCATTCTATAAAGATAATTAAGGATTCCGTAAGCTTTTGGTATAACACTGCAATCTCCCAATTTTCTTTCATAGCTGTGTGAAATTCTGGCTAAAGAAAAAGACACCATCCGAAAGGAATACTGGAGATATATTGGAAGGTCCCTTAAGAACAAGCACAGCTCAGGCACTGAACAGAGCACACTGACAGACAAGCAGCAGTAACTGAACATGGAAGATAACAGCGTTAAGCTCTCAAGCTGTTCTAAAGCAGTACTGAGTAGGTCATCAACTAGTTTAAAATCCAGTGTAGTATTCCCCTGGTGAAGAGGTATTGCAATGAAAGAGGAGTGCAGAGTGCTGTATGGTCTCGGGTCACTGCTGCTACTGGGGATAGCTCTAGGTGCAGTCAAGAAATGTATTAAGGCTTAATTATTGAAATGTATTACATAAAGGGTTTATTTCCTAATAATAAATACATAAAGCTATACCTACTACTTATAAGGCAGTAAACCAATTTCTCATGCCCTGGCTTATCCACTCGTGGTTCCTAACACGGTCACGTCAGATGCTGAAGTAATGACTGCAGGTAACTTAGCTGTAGTGGATATCGAGTAACCCACTTGCGGTTAGTGCAAGCAGGCGCTGCAGTTGTTGCCTTATGTGGGTCCAGCTGTGCAACACTGACAGCACATGCTATTGTATGCAACTAACACCAAGTGTCATTTTGTAATAAAAACAGATAACTGAAAGCATTTGTCTGAAATTTTTCAGTGTGTTTCTTTTGTTCTTTAGGTGTGCATAGTCTCTTCTCAGATGCTAATAGAGATAAAATATCCCCTTTAGGGATACTGGATTCTATTGCATTGAGGTGTCTTTTGCACTGGAGTATTCGCATCTCAGAAACTTTCAATACACTTGGTGCATTCAGTGGAGCCTTGAGTTCTAATCTGCACAGTCAGGAAAAATGCTTTGAGGTCCCTAGAAGATCAACTTAGTTTTTTCTTGGAATTCTGTTCAGACAGCTGAAAATCTGATTTTTTTTTTTTCTTCACCCTTGGTAACCAGACCAAACTGAAGTCATAGGTTAGAAGAGATTATAACTAACTGGTTACGTTATATATCTTCACTGAACTAGAAGGGAAGAAATGGTTTTACTGGGGACCTGTTCGCATTAAATGTCTTAACCTTGTGGCTCCTATAGGCTTTTCATATCTTTTCCGTGCATATATTCAGCCAAGAAGTATTTTTCCTCCCCTTTGTGAAAGATAGAAGGCACCTGCAGTACAGAACTCTAAATGATGTGTATAACTGTACAAGAAAACTGCTGCATCTGCCCTGTTTTCAGTAAATGGCTATTGTAAACTGTGTTCTTAAGGCTGAAAGGGGAAAAACAATTGCATTTTAATGTGTGGTAGAGGTTAGCTATGCCTTTTAGGCATAGAGTGCTTGTCTGAAATGAAATATTTTCTTCGAGATGATCATAAAGGAAACAAATAAACACTAGTATTTATTCCATAATATGAGCAGTCTTTCTGATACTAAACATTAAAAGCTGCTGCTGTAATTAAACTATAGTGGAGATTATTTTAAACGCTTGAAATATGTTAATTCAATGCATTCTTTAAATTTAAAAGAAATCACGGGGAGTGGAAAATATGTGAAAGCTATGTAATTTTTTTAAATGCTTTTGCCACTTTCCCAGCAGTAGAGAAAACATTTTTATAGTGACACAGGAACATTTAAAATGGACATGAACTTCAAACTTTTGGAGATACGTTACCTGCTGGGGTTTTTTTGCCTTTTTTTTTACCACAGTTGAAACTCCAGCATAAAACAAAAAGACTATGTTTCTACTGCCATGAATTGTTCCTAATTGAAACTACACTAAATATGGACTACTGATCAGACAGTATGTTCAAGGTCTTTGGGACAAAGTAATATATGTGCTATTACCAGTCAAGAAAGCTCAGAGAGAGAGAGAGAGCAGAGAAATGCAATCCTTAAAATAAACACCATCAATGAAGAGGGAACAGAATTTTGCTTTTGCATATGGTGTTACTAAGTTCCCATCTCTTTCCTAAACAATATTCAGAGGGCACTTGGAATAAGGCAGAGTATTCTTCATAGATACTGCCATGAATTTCAGAGAAAACAACTCATTCCAAGGTAAGATGATGAACAATGTCTACTGGGACAGTGTATTCAGGGATGTGACCTCTTAGTCACTTGTGGTCTGAGGAAAGATCTTAGATTTAGCCCTGTTGTGCGTCTGTGTCAAGAACAGTGCGATCCTCTGACAAGACTCTTAGGCTATTTTCTTATGGTATGGTCAACTTACGGCGTTCTTATGCTTGAAAATGATGTCTAGAAGTAATCAGTAGAGAGTCGTCTACTGAGAAGGTTAATAGGGTTTTATACTGGTTATACAAGCATAGTGATACTTGCAAAGATAATGCCACTTCTGAGCTAAGTTTACCAATGAAGGAATAACCAGGTATGTATTCTAACAGAAAAATATCTCCTCTCATGTAAAACAAATGTGTGACCAAACAAATCACGCAAATCCTAAGAAAAAAACATGCTGGAGACTAGAGTCCAGTTGGAAAAAAAAAAAGGTCATTATGTTTTAACAGAAATGTTTTTTTTTTCTTTCAAATGTTTATGTTTACTGTCATTCAGATTGCAAGGAAGCTCTAAAATTCTCTTCAAAAGGCACCTCAGTTCTGTGGTAGTCAGCCATACTCAGAAATACTGAGCTGTCGGAGCTGGGAAAACAACAGGCTGCCCAGCCAGGTTGCAACTGCAGCTACCAAGCCTTTAATTTTAAAAATGTGTCTGAGACAGAATCTTTCTCATGGAAGTGGAAGGTTGACAAAATGTATGAGCTATGGAGAGAAGGATCTTATAGCAGGAAGTGTTAGATGACTTTAACCTGTAGGCATTGGTACTGACTACCCATGATCAGGGGAAACACTAAACTGATTTGTCCTTAGGGTTCATCTGTACAAGAAGGCTTACTGTTGTTCCTGATTGTGTGTAGTGATGTGACTCTTGCGTACAATTTTATTACTGAAGAGCTGTGCCTGAATGGAAAACTGTATTGGTACAACTGTCCCTTGTAAATCAGTGTAATTGGAACATTCAGTGGAGTACGGAGAACTATTAAAGCATGTGAAATAATTTCCTATGCCTGCTTTCATCAGAGGCTGATGTTCTTGCCTTGGTCTAGCTGTGTCTGTCACTGACTTCCCCTTTATTGTCTCTGCAACTCGGCTGTCAAAACAGTGCACGAGTCCTTCCTAATCTATTCCGTACAAAACCACCTCAGCTAGCACAAAATGCTTGTCAGTTGCTGTCTGGCTGTGCTGAGGCAGATTAGGAGCATGCTGTTCAGCTGGACCTTCTGTGGGAGCAGTCTCCTCCAGCAGGGAAGCAGTGAGGTTTCTAATCACTCCCGCCACGTGAAACACTTCTGTCCAAGTGGTAGCAGGCAATTCATGCAGTGCAGTGGTGACAAGGTGCTTATGGAGAGATGGGGCCCTACGAGAGCACAAGATGCCTTAAAGCTCCTGTGGCTTTTAGAACAAAGGGGTAAGGGAACAACACCAAGTGATGTTGTGTGGAGTCATCCCTTACGGACTCACATGAGGGCTTTGCAAATGCTAGTGGACTTGCCTATGTGCAAGTTCAAAATACGCAGGGGAGACACCAGCTGTGGTTTTCTTGCCCTGTGCACGCACACAGAGAGGGAATATCTTTATTAACACCTTGAGCCACATGTCTTAGATGTTGTCCCAGATGTGGCGTGGTGGATGCAATAATATGAAAAACGCGCCTCAGCCTAGCCCGTGCCCTTTTCTGAAACATCAGTGCCTTCTGCACATTACTGACGTTGTGGGATAAGGTGTGTGCTTTGCACTTTCTATTCCAAGTCTGGTTTTAGTTGGTGATTACCTGCGGCTTTTGGGTTGGCAGCAGGTTTCCCTAGAATATCTTCTGCTTAAGGCAGATTGATTTGGAAAACTTGGGTAAGATCATGTTTGGCTGAGTTTTGGCAAGCCTGTTAATGTGGCAGTCAGTCCACAGGTGTCAAATATCCTTCAATATTTAGTTTTTCTTGTAAATAACCATCTCTATTAAATATCTCAAGTTGAAAACATTTTCTCTCCCTTCAAGGCTGTACTGTCAAGCTTTTTCTACAATATATTTTAAGAGAAAAGGTTAAAAAAACCTGTGTTTGAATGTAAAAACTACATTATTTCGTCCTATAACAGGTGCTTTCCAGAATCCCTGGCAGTCTGGACTGGTCTGTATAATTCTGGTCATGGATAACATTGCCATTTTAAAGTACTCTCTGTACATTTACGTGAGTACACTCTGTATGGCTGCCTACTCAATACAGGTGAACAGCGGATGAAATCTGAAGCAAAGAATAGAAATCTCTAAAGTAGACAATCATTTGTTTTTCTCCACAATAGTTATCTAATGCATAAGTGTTCAAATAGGTATAATCTGTTCCTAGCAGAAGTCACAGTGTAAAAGTGACATCGTCATTTTCTCTAATCATCCTTTCTCTGCTCTTAGTATCCTTTTATCTTAATGCATCACTTGGCTTAAGAACATACACCCTTTGGACACAAGAAAATCAGGAGCCTGTTCCCAGACCAGAAGTGATGCTGTAGACACTGTTGAGAGAGGAACATGTTTACAAGTTCTGGGCCTCCCTGTGCCTGCTCTGAAAAGAATACCTTACCTTCTGCTGCTAGGGTGGGCCCTGAATTTGCGGAAAAGGAAAAAAAAAGAAGGAAAAAAGCATTATAGTATGTAAAGAGGCATACAAGTGTCTACACGTGAACATTCAGGACAAGACTGCCAAAATGGAGTTTTTACTTAGGTTTCGTTAAGTACTTGGCATGAAGAGCTAATAGAAACTTCACCAAATTTAGCTAGGAACCTTGCCTCAGGATGTCTAGATGTCTACATCAGCTGTCCTATGTAAGCTCCTCGGGGCTGGACTCTGTGCTCCATTACATGTGTCACCCATCACTGTTCCTCAGGAAGCCATGGGATATAAGCCTACCTAAGATTTCAGCCTTGGGGAATTAAAATCTTTGCCGTATCGTTTTTCTGCGGCTGCGCAGCGGGGAAAGCGGAGGTTAATCGCTAGATGGCAGTGTGAAATTCACCCTGAGTTCACCGACGCCGGCTATGCGCAGGCGAGCAGAGGTGTAACTAGGACAACTCTTTCTCCATGCAGCACCACTAATTTCACACCTGCTAATTAAACACAGAAGAGCAACTGCTTGGTAAGTCAATACATAGCACCACAGAGGGCTCAAGCACAAGTATTCTGGGAGGGGCTTAATGGTCACCTTCACTAAAAATTGTTGGTGTTAATTGGAGAGCAATTTTTCATTAACTGAAATGATGCCTCGTCTGACACTGGACACCTTGTACCATATCCGGACTCTGTTTAGTCCTGGTGTTCTAAAATAACTGCGTCACTAAAACCCTCT